AAACGCAGTGCTTTACTTCGCTAATGCATCTCATTGAATGGATGAATATACTCTTGACTTTACCTTTTCCTATATTTTCGGCTCGGGTAAGCGCTGTGGATTGCATTCCATCTAATTGACTTAATTACCGAAAATGGCCTTAGACATAAAACTGAACTATCTGATAAAATTCTATGTATTATATGCAGTATTGAAAGAAACAATCAATCTGATAAGAAAAAGCTGCGACTTGTTTTGAAAATGAGGCGTAAAATGTTACCAGCGAGAATATTCCGTTTGGCATCGGTTTTACCATTATTGGCGACTTTATCGCTTGTGCCGGCAAAACGGAAAAGTACCCAAAATAATATACAGCCACAGATATTTTTCCAAATTCCCCCCTTTTCCGATTAAAGAACCGTAATTCGTCCATTAATATCACATGACGTATCCCATGATCTCTCATTTCCCTCACACAAAATAATGCGTAATCGGAACTGAGTACTGCTCACATTATTACCAAAATTCCAGGTAGTAACCTTTATCGCCTCCAAAATGTCGCCAAACTACCAGTTACCATATTCTAAAGATCAGCCAATCGCCCACTTATTTGTTTGGCACTTTTTACAAGAGTAAGGAGAATTGGATTTTTGTCAATTTTCTTTGACTTTTTAAGTGAAAATAGGTCGATGTGTACATGGATAAAGTCTAGAGTGTGCGCAATGCCATTTTTGTGCAATTCTGGGATGTTTTTTTAAGTGAAAATAGGTCGACGTGTACATGGATACCGCGTATGTGTCATTCTTAAAAACGCAACGAAGCAGTGGAGATTTTGCTTTCCTCCCTCCCGATTTTCACACCTAATCTCGTCTTGATTAAACACTTTTGTTTCCATAAAAGTTCTAGCAAATAGCGTAATATTCGGCTAGCAGATGGTTGGAAAAAAATGTTGCGTTAAAAAAAAAAAAAAAAAAAAAAAAAAACTAGCAGTTGCTGTAGCAGGGTTGGTCGCTAAATTTTCGTCCAAAAAATAGCCAATTTAACCATAATCCAAGAGATTTACCTTCTTCTTTATTTTATATATGCTAAATGCGGAATTAAATGCTAGTTATTTTATCTTTTTTAAATATTAACAATTATAATTAACTCTAATTATTATATAAAAGTAATTTTTACTCTATTTATTTTATATTATTAATTATTTATAAAAAGTAATTTTACTTTTAAAAAAGTATTTACTAAAAATATTTTTCATTCTTACTAATTACAAGAGTGTTTTCCTGTGCAAATTCCATTTTTACAAAATTATTGGATTACGTTGGATTGTATAATTCCATTATAATTTTTTTTTTTATTGCATAGCTCACACTGTCGCAAGTTTCGCCCAGACAATTTTTCTGAAAGCACATTTTTTACTTATTGAATTTTTGCGTTTTACTTTTTGCTTTTATCTTTAAAACACGTTGTAAAGACAAAAAAATGTGAAATACGACATATGAAAACGATCATGCAATGCAAACGGTGAACCACTATAGTAGCGTATCATACCCAAGAGATTAATTCTTAATCTTATTAAAAACTACAATTGAATGATATTAATAAAAACCACAATTGATATGAATACAACTGCTCTCAATTAACGCGAAAATTGCTGTAGCAAGCAGTAGCACGATAGCGCTTTGCCGCATTTTTGGCACAACACAAGAAACAGAACGCACTTACGTGCTAAATATTCTGGTGGAAACTATTCTATGTAATTTAATTAAAACCTTGAATGCAGGTAATTCGTGATGCGCAAACATATTAACACGAGAGAGAAAAAAACTAGTTCACTTGTTTATTTTGCTGTTTAAGTAGTTCTCTAATGTATCATTCACATGAAAAGGTATAGAGTTGTACCCTTTATAACATCAGTTTATTCAAAAAATATCACCACATTTACAAAATAACTTACTCGTTATGTCAAACAACCTTTCGATTCCTTCTTCATAGAAGTCCTTTTCATTTGTTTAGAATGAGTTCTAACACAGCTAACCTTTTATTTTGATATTATGAATAGATATTTTGATATTATAAACTGAACGTGAATTTCACATACATTCCTTCAGTGATGACTTCTGCCTCTGACCGACAGCCTACATGTTAATAATTTCAGACACACTAGACTTCAACAGACTTCCTATGTTCAAACTCATCGTAGTGTACTTATTCAACATGCATTAACTTTGTGTTCAGCCGGAGAGCCTAACTATCATTTAACATCCCTAAACTAGCGTTCACATTTCTCACCGGCTAGAATTTACATTTCGCTAAATTTTAAGTTTCAATTTCTGAATATAGTTACAACTAGTTTTAAAAAATTACACATTCTCCACACACACACACATATGTATATATATATATAAGAAAGGAAGTTGCAATGGATTGACGATGATTCTCTGCTTTATAACTGCGTAGTTAGCAAGATGACACTCGAAGAACACACATAATGATAAATTCCGCGCATAATTTTATTCCTTGATAATGCACATCATCACTGTGGGTGCGATATGCCCCCCCCCCGCTAGCGGTAAGGCGACACAAGCGTCTAGAAGCAGAAGTGAAGAGCGAAGAAGGGGAAGTTGTGACGCTATTACCTTTTTATACCGGATTCCATTTCACATCACATGACAGATTAATCTTCAGATGTCGGGTTCAGATTTCATAGATAAGTGCGCAATACGGATTAGATGACGGATCTTTTTCGTTTAGTCAGAAAAATTATTGCTCTGTTATTTTTAAAATGAAGACAGGAGTTAAAGGGCTATTATTAATTTATTATTTGATAGATAGACATTTTATATTTTACACACACACACACACACACACACATATATATATATATACATATATACATACACACACAAGTTTCCTGCATCAAATTAAACAAAGTTGCTAGAAATAAATCATTTTATCTCGCCAAATCGCATAAAACAGTCAGTCGACCAAACGGCGTAATTCTTGAAGCGAACAAAAGTTTCATAGAACATAAAAATTTCAGCTTCTTGCTGCAACAAGTAATAAAAACACCTCGCTTGAGGCAAAAACAATTTAGATAATTATTAACGAGCACATTGTGTATTTTTAGACATAACAGTACTGAATACTTAAAAATGAAATCAAAAGTTAGTTATCTTTTTAGAATTGGCGTAGTCAGTCATTCGTTTATTCACGAACTGGTTCCAGGTAGAATATGTGGCTGTCGCTGCTACCTGCTGACGTCTGGGGGTTTCCTTTTCTTCAAACACGGGTTGGAACTTCGTTTTCCTGGCACGCCCCTCTATCCTCCTTGAATTCCTAGGGAAGGTATCCTCTGTAGGTGGTCTTTTTCTCCCCTCGGGGCATGTTGTCCGTTGACTACAGTGGAATACCCTCTGTTTGCTGCGTGTTCCCCGTCATCCAGTCTCTGCCACTTGCCAGAGAACCCTCTTGTGTCTTTTGCTGGCTGTGGTTGATTCGTTCTCCCTGACATTTTTTAATCTGATCGATACTGGCTTTTAATTCTTCGCCGTAGGCATTTTTAAGAATTAAATGTAATTTCTCGAATACTTTTTATTATAAACGGCCCCTCAAATTTAGGGCAAAACTTTGCTACTTTCGCATCGGAAGCACAAGATACGTCAGGTTTCAATTTTAACACTTTCTCCCCTGCTTTAAAATTTCCTTCCGTCTTTATCTTCCTTTTGGTGGTCGTTTCTCTTCGGTGGAAACTCTTTCTTGCGGTTGAATTTCTGCTGCCTTCGTTCTTCTGGCTTAGGCGTGGAGAAATTTCTATACTCTTGCCCGTACCTCTGCGTGCGTTCATTGTTGGAAATGCGACGGCTTTTGTATTTTGTGGCCAGCTCAAATAATTTCCAAGGTCGACAGGTTTCTTGTCTATAAAATCTTGCGTCGGTGGGAGTAAACTCGGCAAGATAATTTGAATTACTTCTTTGTCGAGTTTTCTTCTATACAGCAATTTAACTATTTGAATTTTCCGTAGAATAAAGTTTGTGAGATCTTACCCGTTTATTTGGTACCGGCTGTACAGTTCGTCATCTAACTGCGCACGATTCTTTACGACTGAAAAGGCTTTCAGAAGGGTGGTTTTGAAGTTTTGGCCACGTGTATGTTGGCGTACCGGGTACTCCAAGTAGGAATTTGCCGATGCCTTTATGCCAACTCAAGGCGCTTGTCCTCGGAGAACTGAAGTTGAAGTTGTTACTTTCAGAATTTCGCCCACTGGGTATAAAATAAAATGGTCGTCCAGCTGGTCCTTGAATGCTGCTGCTGAACCTTTTCCGTGAAATAGGCACTGGAACCTCATCAAAGCTATCATGGTGTTGACAGTGTAGCCAAATCCTTCCATAGGGTTGGCTTGAGTCACCGGTACTATGGACGTGGATGAGGCCAGGTCAACTGCGCAGTTTTCCATTGTTCTAAACTGCTTCATGCGCCAGTTGTAGAATAGGTGTGTTCTTTTTGGAAGCATACAACGTGGACTCTACGTAGAAGACGATGTAGCGGATGCTTGCTATGTCTTTGAATAATAAATATCGCAGAAGAAGCTTTAAAGTAACCTTTTTATTTAAACTAAATAGATGCGCGCAGTTGATGCTCACAATTCACCACCACTTTTGGCTCTCTAAATTTAACAGAAAATAAAATGTAAAATTCACATTAAATTAAGATGGCTAACGACTCGTTCCTTAGCTTAACTAAACGCGAACGGCAAAGCCGATCCTAAAAATATCAGTATAAACTGAAAGGTATCTAACGCCGATTAAAGAGCTAATTTCAAACACGCAGCCATAAACTCTGTAATAATTCTGCTACTACCCCTTTTCGAACTCTTGAAACGCATCTTAATACTGCTTCTGAAACACGTTTAGATTAGCATACTACGTCGTTAAAAATTTACATTCCGGGAGGAACTGAAATCAGGAGGGAAAGGAAAGTAAAAGTAAAAATAATTGGTTAGAATAAAATAAAGTCCTTACAACATGGCTGAAAAGGAAAATCTAAGGCTCAAGTACAACGCAAGTACAAAATCTTTTTAAGACCTGTACACTGCCGAGTTTCATTGTGGAAAAGTGACGTGAATTTATTCGAACAGAAATACTTTCATTCAGGATAACAATCTCTGTTACATCAGGTACGACAAAGGTTCTGGCCACTTAATAGCTAAAACAGTTGTAGAAAGAAAAGTTTTAATGTGTGAAATGTTTTAAGAATAAACCCATCGCAATTCAACAATTAATGACTGATTTGCCCAAAGAGCGCGTAGCACCTTCTTATCTAGTTAACCCCACTTGTGTTGATTTCTGCTTCGCATTTGCCATAAAGGTTAAGAGAATTTTGAAATTCTCGTAATTTTGAAAAAATTCTACGACGTGGTACATGTATATATGAGTACAAAAGCTATAAATTTAGAATTTGTAACAAACCAAACTAGCCAGTCTTTCATTGGAAGCTTAAAATGTTTTTTTCTCTAGAATATTAAAATGCTCTAGAATAATGAGTGATAATTCTAAAACTTTTATTTGAACTAATATAGAAATAAAAAATTGCAGAAATGGTCCAGTATCCAAGCGAGAATTTAGCTAATTTTTATACCACTGAAGTTACAGAGTGGAAATTCATTTCCCCCAGATCACCAAATTTCCTCGGAATTTGGGAAGCCGGGGTTAAATCGTTCAAGAGTCATTTGAAAAGAGCTTTTAGTAATCAGTGCTTAACTTTGGAAGAAGTTTTAACTATTTTAAGAGATATTGAAGGAGTATTGAACAGAAGACCTGTCAATCTAATTTCAGCTGTTTACGAAAATTTTGACACTTTGACCCAGGTAGACCTCTCACAACTCTTGCTGAACCAGATTTATCCAACCTAAATAAAACGGACTTTCTAAATGGCAAAGAATTGCTAAGTACACACAGAAAATTTGGAAATTACGAAAACGTTAATATCTGAATAATTTACAAGAGCGTCACAAGTAGAAATTTTTAAAAGAAGACTTTCAGTTGAGAACTCTTGTACTAATAAAAGATGAAAATGTAAAAGTGTTTACGAAAAAGAGTTGCTAACATGCGTAAAGTTTTGGATGATATTGCCACAAAGAAAACAAAATAACAGTTGTTTGCGAATAAAGAGGAGAACTGATGTGGAAGATTTAAGAGTTCCTCTGGGAACGAACCTAGGTCGAATTCCTAGCATTCAGCCGTTTTAATCACTTAGTCAGTAGGGGGCCGCATTCGCCGTAACTTGTTTCAGCACGGCACATTTCAGTAAAATTATGTGGCATTCTCTTAGTGTGACTTATCCATCGAAATGGATCGATCATGGCGGTGCCGTCATGTGGCCTCCATGAACCCCGATTCCCCCTCCCCGATTTCTTCCCGGGAAGCTAAATGAAGGACCTCGTTTACGAAATCCCTGTGGCGTCTGATGAAGACTTGGTTACAAAAGTCATTGAAGCAGCTCCACCGATTCGCGAGAGGCCAGGCGTCTTTGAAAATGTGCGACGGCCCATACGTCGATGTTTCGAAGCGTGTATTGCTTTGAATGTCCAGTCCTATGAACTACCAAACAGAATTTTGTTGATACATTTAAGTGTGATACTATGTACTAGTTTAGGTTAGGTTATTTGAATATGTCAAATACCTGTCTAAGAACAGAGGTACCTTTGTGGAGAACTTTCCGAGGAAAACAGCCTTGCAGTCATGCTACACACGGGGAAAATGCATAATGCAGCCAGTCTTTTGACCTAAGTTTGAACCTGGGTCAAATGACCAGTATTCAGCGGTTTTAGCGTCTTCATGAAATGGTGAGGTGATGTGCGTAAAGTTGTCATTGTAACATTTGTGGGTTTTTATTTGGTCTGGAATTGGTAATTAGTCGAATAATCCTATCGCTATGTGTAGATTAACTGCAAAGTCGTGAGAAGGTTTAAATAACCTTTTCGTTTACACAAACTTTAGAACATAAACACACTCTCTTGTGCTAACAATATCAGCCACAGCTCGTGGTGATGTAGTAACAGAACAGTCAAATTTAAGTTAAAAAATATAACAGCAATCAAAACCTACACATTTTATTTAAATGGTACTCGAGGCTAGCTCAGGACTTCTATTCGAGCATCATAATAAAATTGTCAGCAGCGAATATAACGCAAAGCCGAATAATTTACAGCTATCTGAACTGGCAAGAATTAACACGTAGCGTGCACGCGAAGCCAGAAACACGCTCTGTCTTAAAACTTCAAAACCCGAGTTTAAATTCTAGCTATCTCATTTGCATTCTGGTGAAGAAACCGGAAGTTAAATTCACTGACAGCTCTTCTAACTGTTGCCCACTGCGTTTGCGATCCCATGATTTGATTTCGTGTGCCTGACCTACCTTAAGGTTTATCTAAAGACTTTTGAACCACCCTGTATAAATTTCACTTTCATTAATCATATTTCTTTACGACGTGAGACGTCGTTATAACGGTCGTTGATTATATTTATATGTTTTATCTGCTTATCCACAACTATCAGTTTATATACTTTAGGAGATTCTAATTTTTAAGTTACCTTGTATTTTTCTTAATAATACGGTAGATTCGGTAGACCAGGTGTTGATACATGTGTACAGCATGAAATAGATTCTCCTGTTGTCCAGATATTATTTTTAGTTAACGAGGTAATATATACAATTGAATTCTTAATCCTTAATACGAGGGATAGTCAATAAATAGATTACATACTGCTGTAGGATGATGAGAAATAGATATGAGTAGTTTCAAAAGACGTCATTCGGTAGACACTTAGACATAATTATACTTTGTACTGAGTTACAGAGCAAAGCCACTGATGACAGGTGATGCATCAGGGCAATGTAAATTTGAGTACTGTGGCTGGAGGAATTTACATTAGAGGAGTAGGGGGCTGAGGGGTTTTCTGATGTTTTCCGAGGTGGGAAATGAAGGCCACTGCAGCTTAATCCTGAATGATTTTTACTTGTGTCTCCTCCCCCCACCTCACTTTGGTGGTACAAGCTTCATGGACAATGCAAATACAAAATAAGGTATTGTACACTCATAAATCGATGGGATAAGTGTCTCTAAATGGGCCTTATTAAGAAAATAAAAATTGGTTTCTACATCAATATTGCATGCAAGTTTATTTTTTTAGCCATTTGTAATCTGTTTATTGACTAGCCTGAATATTTTTACTTCTGAACATACTGAGCCCGTTAGTTTTATGTTTTTGCTTTTTAGGGGGCCTTAGTAACAGTTTGTGTTGATGACAGTATTCATCTTTGGAATATTCGACAAAAGCAGCCAGAAATTGTGCATACTCTCAGGTTTCAAAAAGAACGGTAAGTTAGTATCATATAAAATGTGGATGAAATTTGCTATATTATGAGAATCCTGTAATTAGAAAACTTTGAATTGAATTTTACAGCTATGATCAGGTGAAATTTCAAAGTTTAGGTTTCTACTTTTATAAAAAAGGTATATAAATTTGAGGTCGTCTTTGTATTGATGCCAGGAATTAAAAAATGTTATTTCCTTATCAACAGGTTATTTATTTATTTGCGTGAAAGTTTGTAAGGAAAATTATGAATTATAAGGTATTTATTTTTGATAGGAATAAATTCGTTGATGTGTTTGAATGTATTTTTTAATATGTTTATGTGTGTACACGTACTAGTGTAATGGCTTGCCATAGTTTTCATCAAAAGGAACTAAGTCTAAAGAAGAATATTTTTTTAATATGAAGATGGTGTAATGGTGTATTTAATTATGGTAAAGCACACTAGGGCTATCTGCCTAAGGGGAGGGATGCCTTCGTGGAGGGCTTTCTAAGGCAAACTGGCTCAACATGAAGATGAATTACAGCAGTTGATATGTACTACTTTTGATGTGTGATTTACTGTGGTAAAATTGGGTAAATTTAGAAGGTATTTAAGATGACCATGTCATAATAACTGGAAAAAATGTGTTTTTATTTTGATGGATTAGCATACCGTATATTTCCGTGTATAAATCGATAATTTTTAGCCCGTAATCTTATTACTGACATTGGGGGGGGAGCGCGGTTTATGTATGAATACAAAATCGTGTACAAATAATTTTATCACAAAAATATTATAAATTAAATAATAGGAAAAAAATTTTTTTTCTAATATGCATTAAATAAATTAATTATTTTGCCACATTTTTCCGGCCTGTGGGAGTTGGACTGATAAAGACACAGATTACTTTAATTTTCTGAGATTATTTCAAATATTAAATTCTTTAATTTTTAATTTGTGTCTTTCTCAATTTAGAAACAGGCTTATGTACGAGTATTTGCTTCTTTTGTTGCATCAACCCCCTGATGGCGATACAACGAAAGATGTATATTGCTGTTTTCTTTTTCACATTTGATTTTTACAATTTTTGTATCTTTCGTGCAATTTGCCGGTGTTCTTCCGGTTTTTTATTTTTCCTAATGGTTTGTTCCGAATTGAATATGGGGTGGATTTTAAATGTATTTTTATTTTGCAGTAATCAAATTTCTTACTATCAGTATCCAACACAGAAAGTTCTACATATTCTCCAAATTGTTTACATAAGGCAATTTCGATTAAATATAAGTATCCTCTCTTTTTGATCCATTTACATTGTTATCAACCGCTTTGTAGGTAATATTATCTTCATTTCTTAGGAAAATTTTAGTTTCAAACTATGCGCCCTCATTGTTTTTAGCCAACCAGTTTTCACTATGTAGTAGAATCGTATTTTATTCGTAAAAACATGAATGCAACTGAGAATCTTGTGATTGCTCGAAGTATTTAAAAGAGAAACAGTTGCTGCCTGTCTGCAACGCACTCACCGCCGCTTTTTTTTTTTTTTTTTTTTTTTTTTTTTTCGAATAGAAGTTGAAGGTGATTTGGCACTTGCCTTTAGCTTGTCTGATTATTAGCACTTATTTGCACTTTTGCCTATGTATGTAGCTAAATTCATAGGAACATTTTAAATTTGTCTTATGCACAGGTTTTACATTTTTTTCTGATTTGTGCAATTCAATCTTACCTCTCAACTATACACGGATCAATTTATATTCGGAAATATATGGCAACTGAAAAGATTGTGCATCAAAAAGAGTACTGAGTTAGAAAAATAGTCTATTTCTTAATTTTTGTGTCAGTAATGATTTTTTAAGTGCAGAATATTCCACTTTGGAATGAGAAGTATGATATTTTGTGCAAATGGAAATATCTGGTATGAAACTATATTTTGTGGTTATTTCTTTTTTCTTTTAAAAATATAAACAAATGAAAATAATACCAAAGCGTATGGTGAAGAAAGTATCAAGATCACGACATAGTGATAGTGACGGTTAATCAGCTGTGTTGACCTAGAGCAGCGTCATAGCTTTCTTGCGCATGCTGTATATTTATAGGTTTCTTGTTCGTCTTGCTGAGTTCTACGTAGTTTAAATCAGAATTACTACATCAGTATGTTTTACTGCAAACTCTTTCACATATTACAATAACGGTTTTATGAAAACAAACTAAAATATGGCATTAAAGGTTAACATTATCTTTTGTAAGAATGTTCGTATATTAAAAGATACCTGTTTGTTATCCAGCCGACTCATCAACCAGAAATACCACCCATAACGGATTCTTGCAAGCGTTCCTCAGCCTTAAAAGCTGTTTCAAATTCTTCGCCAAAAATGAATATTTGTTGCTATTTCCTTTTTACTCCTGATCAGCGAAATGAAGAAATAAACGGTTACCATTATTGATCGTTTGTAATTTTACTTATCGAAGTTCATATGAAAAAAGAGACAAGCTGCAGAGAATAATGGTCTGCTTGATGCCATTTGGAATCTGACTGTCAAATAATACCCACCGGAAATTTAAAAAAAAAAAAAAAAAAAAAGAAAAAGTATCCACTGAAGTGAATGCAGCAAGAAGATAACAACAACAAAATTTTGGGCATTCCCTGCTCCGCGAACTTAATCGCACTACAGGTCCCCCTACTCCTTAGAACCAGGCGCGTAGGTTCAACCTCCGCTCTGACCCCTCAGAGAGAGAGGCGCACCGCCCAGGAAAAATCTCCCAGACGGCACTGGCCGTTAATTTGGTACCTACCAGTCGCTCGGGCTGCCCGTCGCAGTGGGGCATTACCCAGCATACCCGGGGATGTTATCCCCCGGGCTACTAGTGCCACGTCACGCTAGGACGTGCTAGACCCCGAGGCCGGCCAATAAGGGATCTTTCCCAGGGCCTTCAGAACCACCAAGTTCATAAATTTTATACCCCCGTGGCCGAGACTGCCTAGGTACAGATCCTAGCCAGTAGCTTCGCAGAGTTTTCTACGTCGACTCCCGGAAGGGTAGCAAGAAGATGAGCAAAGTGTCTTTCTCCAGTAAGTGGCGTTCTATGCGCCATTTCCTCGCAGAATGAAATCAAAGGTATCCTGTCTGACGACCGTGGCAGCCACACGGCTGGACCCTCATGTCCGAACGAGAGAGCTGGGTTTTCCGCATTCAACCAGTCGCATATAGGAGAGCAAAATGTGACACTGCACTACCATAATCCATAGGCCACATGGAACGGATAAGAACATATCACAGAGAGAAATTAAGTAGATCATGGAGAAACACCAGGTGTGAATGGAGAGTGAGACGTTGAGATAACAGATGCGGTACAATAATATTAGACTGCAGAGCGTATTGATTCGTTCTTTGAGTTGTAATCCATAGAAGAATGAGGCACTTTAAAAACGTTTCCATGCAAATGATAAATTTATTCTGATGTAAGGAGTGTAGAATTACTTTGAAATGATTGCTTTCAAGAGTTCAAAGTTCACTCCTACTTAACTGGAAGCTTTAGCATATATTCAGTGACTGGTTAAATGCGCACGTCTGCGTCTGTCGTGCAATGGCTGGTTTCATATACAAACTTTGATTCCTTGCGGCTGTAAATCGCCAGAAGGAGCTACGTACATTTTCCCCATGAAACATGGGAAGGGACGGAATCAGACAGTACTGTCGTATATCGGCGCACACGCTTTAGTACGCGCACATTGACGATTGGACTGTGACCGGAAATGGCTGTTATAACTATTGATTCCGTCATATGTGAAAGAATTTTCATCTGTCTACAAGATGCGTCACTAAAAGTCATTCTTGGATGCAAAATTTACATTCGATAGCGAAGTACGTACAGATGATAACAAGGCCGGCGGAAGCTGCCAGACACTTCTATGGCAGTAATAAGCCACATGAATTTTTATTAATAATTATGTGTTTATAAATAAATATTCTGAAAATAATTGAAATAGAATAATATGTAATAATATAAATCGCTTATAATACAAATATATAATGTAAAATATCTTTAGAATGAAATTAAATAAGTTTACGTATATTTAGGGTAGACGTCAGAGTCGTAACGACGGCACCGGGCGGCGAAGATTGGACGGCAGAAAGTGTGACGGCCGCCTCTATATACCTTTTCAATATTTCTTTGTGAAAACATCTATCATATTTCTTTCTTTTATATAGAATCATGATGTTGAATCAATATAGCAGCTGTGTGCATAGCTATGATGGCACTGAATTCAAGTTCAGTTTATTCATCATTGTGGTTTAAGAACTTATATCGTAATTTTAGTGCATCACCACGGTTTATCCGTAAAATTTCATCTTCACTTCTGTCTTTGTTACTGTTTGTTTGAGTCTTTGTTACTAGGCTGTGCTGATTCTATAGTTTTCTATAAGTTATTTATAAATTATAAGTTTATTATATTATATTGTTGCGTACGTGCGGGTTCGTAATGAATTGAATGCACAAGTCCGATGGAAAATGAACAAAATTTATTATTATCACAACAAAACTGCTTAATTTTCCTCAGATATTCGTGCAGTATTACAATATCTCACAGTAATTATCTTTTAACTACTCAAACGTTCAAAAGAACTTAACAGCTAGAGAAAGCTAATCCGCGAATTCGTTACAGTCAACAAGAGCAGTTTTCTAAACAAACTCCTAAAACAACAACAAACTAACTGACTAACTAAATTGAGAGGTTTTCCTCCTTTATATAAGATTTTAAATCGCGCGCGAAAATTTTATCGAAATCAAAAAGAGATATTTATTTATTTATTAAATGCACGTGTTCTTGTATTTTTAATTTTTCCGGGTTAACTTTCTCATAATATTCGTCACGCGCTGCACTGCACGGGGAATAAACCAATTTAATTTAAGTCTGCTAACATTAGCTACTTAAATACCAAATCCGTAACACTGCCCCCTTCCCAAGGACTGCATGTCCCGTGCAGTACAATCCCTGGACAGGAAGCCAAACTTAAACTAAG